GGATAAATTATGGATTAGTTAAGATGTTTTGGGTGGGCTATAGATTAGTTAACCTGTATTTGGACATGTTATGGATGAATCTGTGTTTGGGTGGGTTATAGTTACCCTGTACTGAGTGAGGTAGACGGAGCCCTTCTTGGTCCCCTTGAACAGGTCGTTTTTGGGCGTGACGTCACTGAAGGAAAGTTCAACGTTCTTGCATTCTCGTAAGATGCTGAAAGAGCAGGATGCAAACAGGAAGTGAGGTCACACTGGGAACTCAAGCACACATCTGTTCCCAGAACAGCCGGAGTTTCTCAACACATGTGAACAAACACTGTTACTACAGTTCCTTCAGAAATCACCCACACGTCTGTCTGTGATGATGATGATGATGAAGAGTTGACTCTTCACACTGATCTGATCTTAAATCACACATCTTTAACTGTGAGAGTTATTATCTGAGTAGTCAACTAAAAACACAGTCACTAAATCATACGATTTACATTAATTCATTTAGCAAACTACAATCATTCATGACATCAGACCTGACAGAACAAAGGACACAGATAAGATCACATGTACACTTATTTATCAAGAAAACAGCGGAACATTTATTCACAGTTGAATATTATTTGAAGTAATATTTTGAATACATTTAAATAATGTAATACATATGTATATATAATGTGATGAGTGTCATATAAGGGTCATCAGTGTGTGTGTGTGTTCTTGTATATCGTGATAATGATCAGATATGTTGAAGGTGTCTGTGTTGTTGTTGTTGTGTAGTTTGTTGTAACGTTACCTCTCTCCGGCCTGGATCAGGACTCCTCCGTTCGGGTGATGGTTTCGGTTCAGCGTCATGTCGATTAACACTCAGTTAAAACAGATATTAATTTCTGCGCGATGTTATTTGATAACGGAGTGTGTTATTGACCGGCGATCAGTGATGAACACCTTGAGAAACAGTTGCGCACTTTATTTCCGGCACCACGTGACTTCTCTCTCCGCCCCCGGCCGTCACGTGACCGGTGCCGTGACGTC